TTAGTTCAAAATAGTTATGTTATATATGTTATAATTATATAATAAATATATATGCCCACCTATACTAAAGATCAACCATACATTCTATAAAATTTAAATTCATTATTAGTAAAATTTGAACTCTTGTCTTGTCACTTGGAGATGTAACAATTTATTAACTTCACTAAGTTTTTACACTCTCTAACATTTCTTCAAATTGATAATATTTTTTTATTTTTATAAGTTTTTTTTTTATAAAAAAATAATTATCAAACTTATAAATCTTTATAGTAATTTAATAAGCAATAGGCTAAGTAAATTAGAATTTATATTTATTAAGAATAATGAAGATAATTCTGAGCTTTTTAATAATTTTATAATATATTGTAATGTCTTTTTCTTTTTACTCTTATTTTGAAAATATGAGAGATTAAATAACCAAAATGAAAAAAGTTTTTTTTTTTTTTAAATGTTAAGGTAATTGTTCACAAGTCTGGCATGGTTTATTGAACTTTTGGGTCGATACCAGTACAGTTACATAGATTGCACCTAATCTTGTTACATTAACAAGAGTATATTCTAAACATATTTGTGTCTTTGAATACCTACTTTAAGTAGTTTATTTATTACTAAATTCTATACTAGATGCTGTACCTGTAATCTACTATTACTTGAGTTACTCAATTAAACTCTCTGATTAACTTCATGCTATCAGATATTTTGCCTAAAGAGGAATCTGCTGCTAAAGCCTGTTAAGTATTTAAAGCAAATACATACTTTCATATAGAAGGTCCTTTGGTCTTGTAGTAAACCTATTAGAGCGGTCCATATTTTATATATATATCACCTAAGTTTTGGTAACTTATGCTGAGTCTGAGAACAGGTACTTGCAAGTTGAAGCTGCTACTGTTATCTACTCTGTGCTCTTGCAAAGTTTGCTTAAATCCTAGTATATATTTAACAATCTATACTTCTAGTTTCTCAAACTAAGCCCTATTTTTGGTTCTGTAAACTTCTAATTCAGATAGCCCAGAAGGGCTGTGACTTGCCTTTAGTAATTACAATTAGATCTTTTTTCTCCGATTACTTGTCTGGTGGCTTGGTTGATGGAGTGTCTTGCCAAACACTTTGGTTCCGTTTGATTCCTCCTTTTCTTGCTGTTTAATTTCTCCTTTTCAAATCATTAGATAATACTGTCGAAGATTTGTACTACCTCTCTGTTTGGATCTTGCCAAGCAGGCTTTTGTATCTCAATCTGCTAGGTATACCTAACAGCTTCACTATCATGCAACTCATGTGGTATATAGTATTTCTACTGCCTTCCAATATAGCAGTACTGATGCGATTCTGTTATAGATATTAACCTAAATAGGATATAGTCTTTCAAATATATTTCTGTAAATTCGAATTTCATTACTAGTAGGATTTAAACTCTTGCCTGCTACTTGGGAGTGCAAACAACTTATTAACTACACTAAGTCGCTATATGCTTTAAGATAAAAAAAGGTTTAAAATATAGTTAATGTCTTCTATATATAATTTGTCATCAATATATGTTTAAAAATTTTCAGATCTAAAATGTTTATAAAGATATTTATTATATTTTTAGAAATATTTTATACATATATATCTAATATATTTATTATTAATAGTAAGCTTTAAAGCAGTCATTAGAATTCTGTGAAATATAATATATGATTTTAAATCAAGATATAAAATTTAAATATTTTTTTCAATATATATTCTAATAATGCCCAATATAATTATTATCTCTACTAAAAAAAATTTTAAATTTATTGCAAAGTAAGCTTTTTTTTTATAAACTATACTTTTAGTATAATATTTTAATTATTTAATATTAGACATATAAAGTTGTTTATAATTGAAGTTAAAATGATTAAAACAAACTTCTAATTCAGTTAAGTTTAAAATTTTATTTAAAGCCAATTCTATTTCCTATATGCTGATTTATTATACTAGTGATTTTAGAGCAACTATTAAATTGTAATATTTAATTAGTTTATTTAAATTATTAATAATAATACAAAGTAATAGTTTTGTTACATTAGTTTTTAGAATTTTATTATAATTCACATTATTATTATTATTATTAGAGAAAATGTTTTCTGTCACCTGCATGATTGTGCATCATCTAAATAATACAAATCATATGATATGATTTATGTATGTACGTATATATGTATATCATGCCTAACGTGCCGTATGGAAATATTATTTGTGTGTGATATAAATCCAAGTTTGTAAAATTACAAATTTAGAATTAGCGTTAGATTGTTAAATTTAGATGCTATAGAAAAATCGTTTCTGTCACTTTTAATTTTCTTTACTTTGCTTATATGTCAGACTGATCTTTTTTGATTGGCTAATTTCAATAAGTACATACTAACACAATGTAATCTAATCTTTGATGATAATGCACTCGTATTGTAGTGTTTAATTGTTTTGAAGAGATTTGATTGATATGCTTGTAATAATTTTTGTCTGATAATGCACTTGTTAATATATATATGTACGTATATACTTGATAGTACATATTGATAGAAAGGTACGTAACTCTTTATAAAACTATGGATTTTTCAAGATAAATTTGGTTCTGAGATATAGCAAGCATTGAGTAAGGCTATACAAGAACAATATAATATTCTAAACAAACTAAAGAGAAAGTTAAAGTGAAAAGGTTGGTTATTGCCAATCAAAAAGAAATTATCTTTAATGGGTGGGCTTTGTAAAGCAAAAAAAACAAGAAAAAAAAAGAAGACTTCCCTGAAACTTAATCAATAAGATAGTAACTCCATTAACAAAACATATTCTAGCAATACAAACAGATCTAGTACAAAATACATAAGACATATAAGCAAAAACTGAATAATAATTTACATAGAACGTCAAAAAGCAAATTATAATTGTTAAAATACTGCATAAATCCCATAGTATTCACTTAGAATTTTACACGATTTATAAATGGACGTAAGTAACAACAACTGTAACTTATACTATTTTACTGCTATACTTATACTTATGTTATTTTACTGCTACACTTATACTTATACTTATTTTTGCTTTTATACTTATATTAATTAGATAGTGCATGATAAGAATGTATCTAATTTTAATAATCTTGAGTTGAATGAGCTGACATGTGACTCTGAGTGTGATAAACTAACATATAATTTTGAAAATTCTATCTATGAAAATAACAACTTAGATTTGGATGCTTCTAAAAAAAAGCTGTATAAAGGGATGAATTTTCCAAGTTGAGAAGAAGCATTAGATACTATAAAACTGTATGCACCAAGGATTTGGGTTAAAAAAAGGTCATAATGAAAAAACTTCTAATGAAGTTGTACGAAAATGAACAATGCTCTGTGAACATAGTGGCGAGTACAAACCAAGAAACATGGAGCTAACTAAAGAAACAACAACCAAATATATAAAGTACTCATAGTACATAAATTTGTCACAACTAGTAAAGAACAATTCTAATAGAACCGTTTATATTACAACACTAGTTAATAAACATAATCATACTCTGTCTTCCTATAGAATGAAGTTTTTTAAGAATAATAGCATTATTCAAGATATGTATACACAAGTAGAGTTTTACTTAAATGTGGTTAAACTTAAACCACTGCAGATTCAAAAGGCTCTACAAAAAGAGTTTTCTGATCATGAAATTCATCTTTTTGAAATTTATAAAGTAATGGCAAAATTTTATAGTGAAAAGCGAAGAGATATTTCGAATAATGCTGCATCTTTATATGAGGATTTAGTAAAAAAAAAGGATGAAGACCCTTATTGGTATATTGCAATCGATTGGGATAGAGAAACTCATAGTCTTCGAAGACTATTTTGGATGTCACCTGAGCAAATCATTCTTTAGATAGAATTTAGTGATATTGTTTTAAATAATAATACCACAAAAACAAATTGCTATAATATGGCACTTTCTCTCTTTTTATATTGTTATATTAGTAGATTTTATTAGCATATTTTAGAAGATTTTATTAGTATATTTTATTAGTATATTTTATATTTATTATATGTTTATTTTTAGCTTTAGTTTAATATTCAAATTTTCGACAAATAGTAGTAATTTTAGTATAATATTAAGTACGTTAACAGGTATGTTAATAGATACGTTAACTGAGACGTTAATAGATATGTTAATAGGTACGTTAACTAGTATGTTAACTAGGTCATTAACTGGGTTGCTAAAAAGGTTGTTAACTGGGTTATTAAAAGAATTGTTAACTGGGTTGTTAAAAGGGTCATTAACTGGGTTGTTAACTGGGTTGTTAACTGGGTCATTAACTGGGTTGTTAACTGAGTTGTTAACTAGATCATTAAATAGGTCATTTACTAATAGTCCAAAAGATATAAAAACCCTGCCTTTTTCCTCAAGGCAGAGCAGACTGTCTCCTCTCCACTTTTAATTTCTTGTTAATTACAACTTATTTTCTTAAAAGTGTAGCCATTGCCTATCTTCTTTTTATTGTGTTTAATAAAGCTTCTATTGTGTTTTTATTGTGTATTTAAAGTTGAGCTATCACCTTTTCTTTCTTCTTTGAGTATTTATTTTTGGTATATTAAGTTGAGCCATCACCTCTTTTCTCTTGTTTTGAGAATTCTATTGTGTTTTAGGATTGGAGCTATTGCCTCTTTTCTTTATTTTTAGTTTATTGTCTTACTTTAAAGTCTCTTTTAGTTTTCTTTCTTACTTTATTCTTTTCTTATTTGCAAACACATTTCTTAACCTTTTTACATGTTAAGTCAAGTAGTATAGCTTTACTAAGACCCTGTATTGCTATATTACAATATATTGATAACTATGAGTCTTCTCAGCTAATTGGTTGTATGCTTATAGATGATGAGTCAGCTGATTCCTACTAGTAGGTTTTACACCAAACAAAAAAAGCCACAAGTGGTTGTGTACCTAGTGTTATTATGACCGACACTGACCTAGCCTTAGATCTTGCAATATCCAAAAAATATGAAAAATCATATATCATGCACTGTATTTTTCATATTTTACAAAATCTTTTTCAAAATCTTGAATCACAGTTGGGTCACAAGTACTATGACTTTGTTAAAAACTTTATATAGCACGAAATTCGTTAATTCCAGAAGTTTTTGAATATAAGTGAGCACAGTTATATGAAAAATATAATGATCCTAGAGTAGTCAAGTATTTGCGGACATTATTTTTATCAAAAACAGTATGGGCACATGCATACATGACAAAGATCTTTACTGCCAGTATCTAGACAACATCATGAGTCAAGAGTTATAATATACAAATTAAGAAACTTAGTTTAAATTTCAGTATTAGCCTTGTTGAACTTGCTAATATTTTAGATGCAAGCATAAATGAAGAAAGTAAAAAGGCAAAATACATTTATTGAAAAACTAAAATTCCACTAATATCATTTGTTATTACATTACTACAAGTGTTATTCCCTGAAGTTGATGAAACTTTATGCCGTTTTCTTACACCCAAAATACTAAAAGTTCAACATCTTGAAATCAAAAGCTATTTAAATTATCAGGTGTCTGTTATTACAAAAGATAAGTTGTTTGGATATCAAGAGATATGCATTAGATGGAATGTTTCGTATTAAAAGGACTCATTTTAACATATAAACAATTTTAAGTAAATTGAACTCAAAATAGAAACTTGTAGATTTTTCTATTGTGTAATTATTTTCTGTTACTATAGCAAACTTTTTTATTGTATATATATTTATTCAAAAATTAAATAAAGAATTTTTTGAACATCACTAAAATTAAGTAAACAAAAAAGTAAAAATCAATAAAACCATAGAACATAATTAAATAACTATAAGATACAATAGCAGGAAGTGTGTAGCACACTCCAACAGACCTAATAG